GCTATAGTATTTCTTTTGTTTGATTTTGGCGCATTGGGTTAGCTGAAGCTCATTTTGCCTTTTTGCTTCTCGTATTATCCTAACCACCTCATTTCTGCACCTTGTACACCGAATCCACCTCTTTTGATTTCCTGAAGATCTTAAGCTCTTCTAGTACCTATTTCGTTGTTTGATGGTCCTAGCCATGGCTGCCCTTCATCACAACGGCTTGTCGCTACGTCGGCTGGGACTTAATGGAGAAAATTCATTTTCTAGATATACGAGGGTCTTCCTAGTTAACATCCAGTGATCTTCTACACTAGCCTCTTCTGGAGCATCCCTTATCAACTACGATGCCCTGTTTCTAAGATTCCCTAGATCCATACAACCGAAATTTCTAATGAGCTTGGATGGTCCCCTAGCTCGACGCATGCAAACTTTGATCGATAGGATGAAGTGGCCGCTTTTACCAAGCGGTGGGTGTGACTGTAGCGTCATAATATCATTTTTGTGTGTGGTGCTCACTAGATCTAGCTCGGACGGAGCATTAACTGACCTGAATCTAGTGCTTTCCCTAACATGTTGGCCATAGGGCGTTTTCATGCAGCCATTTGATATAGTCCTCTTCCGCTGTTCCCCGGGTGCCTCCAGGCTATATGTGGTAGGTTGAAGTCACCAACAATGATGGCTTTGTTAGCTTCCTTTACTATCCTCGTGAGGGCACAGAGCAGTTGACCATTTTCCTCACGNACGATTTGTACTTGGTGCACGATAAACACATATTACATTAACCCTTCTATTCTTGAGTATTATGATTACCGTACACAACGGCACATTTCTCGTGCATAGAATAGTCTCTGATTTTATATGGTTTGTGCCTATTCTAATCAAGATTGCCACTCCTCCTCCCGCATATAATTGATTTTGGTCCTACCGGTAGACAGAGAACGACTTTTGGCTTGTCTGCGATATATGGTCTGTATCACCCAGTAATGTTTCGGTGATGGTCACTACAGACACTTTCTTTTCCCAGGATATCTGAGCCAGTTCTGACCAGTAATTCCTAACGCTGCATGCCTTGGTGTATAGCATGAACATGCTGTCCTCCGTTCCTATGCGGTTCCCATAGATTCTTCTTACTTGGGCCTCGGGCGCAGCACCCGAGGAGACAGCAATTTTTTTCTGCAGTACTTCTAGCCTGAGGGTCGTTTCGTTGAGCAACCTCCGCTGGTGGCTCGTTGCTGAGCCTTAGTGAAGCCTCTCCGTTTGTGTTGTCTTCTTGCATGCAAGTTTGCCACTGCCCATCTTCTAGGACATCCTCAATGACGACCACTCCCGTTGACACTCCAGGTATGCGTGCTGCACGAAAACCGGAAGATATCCTTCGAGTTTGGACCTGGTCGTTTACTTTGCCAGGATTCATACCCACTTTTCGAGCACTTAAGCATTCTCTGCAACTCCCACGGGGTCTGTCTGGTGCGATCTGATATCGGTCTCTTGTCCTTTGGGCTACCAACACAGATCGGGCCAGCAGTAGTTCCCTAATTTATTCTGCAACGAACTCTACTGGAATTGATCGCGCAGGCGAACCATTGCTATCAGGTTTCTGGGCTTTATACGTCCGCACCCAATGGACCCTTTTAATACCTCCAGGATGCAAGATACCTTCCAGACGCAAGATGTCTAACACCCTTCTACGGTTCAACTCTCTCCGGGTCTTGGCCTCCAATATATAAGGCTCCTCCCGGTTGAGTATCAGAAGCCTTCGCCCGGATGCCTTATTCATCGTATGAATCTGCCTTTGCAAATCCGTAACGCACCTCTCGAGGGTTTTAAGTTCCGGGTGACTGATTCCCGCATCTTTATCCTGCTCCTTTGTTCGCGGTCTCTTAACCGGTTGCTGTACCTTCCCAGCTACCTTTATTCCTACTCCGCTGACGAAATGTCGAACCGGGGTAGAGGAAAATGCCACCGGGAAGTTGCTGGGACCTCCCGATAACACTTTTCCCGCTGGAGTACTAGAAATCTCTGCGTTTTACCGACGCGCTGCGGCCGCGGGTAGCGATTTTGTTCCCAAATGTTCAGGAATGTTCTCTCTGTATGGCGTTTCTACCTTACGTGACTCACGTTGGAACGCAAGCTATGCTGCTTCCAATTTCCCATTTCTCGCAAACCTCACATTTTATGCCATTCACCACCCTCTTTCCACATTGCTCACTCAAGCATGGGTAAGCGGCTCCAGACATCTTACTATGGATAGCAATGTTTAGAGTGAGAGAAAATGGACCAAAAATACCTCAAACACGTGCGAAATCTGAAATAATTCAAAGTTCGTGTAAACAAAAATTTGAAAGGGCTAAAGCCTTTTCAAAAAACAGTATACATCGGAAAACAATGCATAAACGGTATAACGACACTTATAGAAACACAATACCCAAGCGAAACCACAAAACAGTTGGTTTCACACAATAAAACTTTCAAAAATTCACGGATTAAACAGAGAGCAAGATTTACGCAACCAGTTTGATCGTACCGCCAAGGACAAGTAGTTCAGTTTTATCTTGAATTCTTGAAGTGACTCTCGGGTTCGAGGCTGGGGCCCAATAGTCCCGGATCCCTGATGGTTTCTGGTTGTCTGTTTGCGGAGTATGCAACTGGAAAATCAGAAAAGCTGGAGGGTAATATATTCCTGGCCTGACCTTGACGCGCGGTTTGACTTTCGGAACGAGGAAGGTCAAGCGAATAAAGTGAATCGTTCCGGATTAGCATAGAACTTTCCTGAGAGGATAGCTGTATTTGAGTCAAACGTAGTAGGCAACTATTTCAAACACAGGATTAATCGGGAGTCTTTCCGAAGGGTTATCGACAACACACGAACATTCACGCTCCTCGCAGGATTGAGGTGGATTAAAGGCGAGCCCAAGGAGTTACTTAGCAGTCTGTGACAATCTATTCAAGGTAAGCCATTTCCACGTCCCTTTTCGTTCTGCTGGCCAGCAACCCAACGGGCTTTCTTTTCCATTCGCTAAAGGTTTTTATTCAGCAGGTCACCTCTCACTAACTCATACAACCTTTTTCTACTGCACTCTCACAAAATGGTGAGAATGGCAAGTCATATCTCCATAGGATCACCCTTGAGTCCCAGCGGGAAGTGCAGGAAGTGTTCCAAGGTCGTAAAACATGGGATCTCCTGCGACACCTGCGACTGGTGGTTTCATCGTGCTTGCAGTAAGCTTATCCCCATGCTTACCGACTGTATATAGATAACGCGGAGCCTAAATGGGTTTGTTGTGACTCCTCACAGCTAATTATACATAGCCGCACTTCAGAGCAACAGCAACCCGACGATGACATCACAACTGATGATGAGACAGTCATAGAATTAGGGAAATGCCAACCGACAAAAAACATCCAGTCAGAGACAGTTAGGATAAGTTATGAAGCGCTGGAGGCAAATATGAGGTCTTGAGTCTTGAAGTCTTGAGGCTAAGCCCAATTGTTCCGGATCTTGGTCATAGCTCCTGCGACTTCATACAGACATTAGTGCTAGGACCGCCAGTCTGTCCGAGATCAGGAAGGAGGTGATCAGCATGGCTTCCTAGATAAAAAGAATCTGGGGTACGAAACAGCAATCGCAATAGGCAGGCAGCGAAATGTTTTCATCGAAGGAATGGATGAGCCTCTCTACAGCAGTGTCAGACTGAGAGAAAGTAATCTAAGAAAATGTGTCTCCAACCTACTTGGACAGGTGGGAATCCCGGCCCAAGCACTAATCAAAAGGATTTTCAGGCTTAGGAAATGGTCCAACGCGCAGGCAAGCATAGCTTGTATCCTAAGACCAGTTTTCATAGAATTTGTTAATCAGAGATTCCGGGATGCATTCCTGGCGGAGGCGAGTAGAATAAAGAGTTTGACGAATGGGAAGGTAGGCGCCGAACCGGATAACGCATCTATGTATGCTATGTATGCCTTCGCCGAAATTCATCACCAACTAACAGGACACTGCAATTCCCGGGGTAACTCACCTCGGATAGAGTTTAGTAGAATGCAGCATCAGTCCCCGGCACAAGCTGCTCAACGTACCACATTCACACCCAGGTCTGGCTCAACTACATTAGCACTATCACCCACAGGTCACAGTCGCAACGAAGGATGTCCAGAGCCCACCCCAGTAGGTAGGACGATAATGTCCACAGCTGCTCAAAAGGACAGGCCTGATAGTATACCTACTCAGCTGGAGACTGGTAAGGAATTGTGGGTTACGGTGGCTCGTAGGGCTGATGTAGCCGTCGTCCTCTCCGTGGTACCCCAGCAACTGAGAGCCAAGAGTATGCCAGCGACAAAAAACGATGCGGATGCGGTTCTGGAAAGGTAAGTGGGGAGAACCACTCCATTCTTCCTATCTACCTAACGCACTGCTTTTCTTTACTCTTTCACCGTGACTGCTAGAAGAATGATCGCATGGTTGGGTTTGCGTCCAGGCTGTTTGGAAGGGTGGTTTCCACTCGTTGTACTTTGAAGTAGAACGGCGAGTGGTCGCTTTTGCCTTATTTCCCCGACGTCATTGACGTTCCTCGTTAAATTAGATCGAGGGTAGAGGGTACTAGTCTAGGTTTGTTCTTGGTAGGTACCATCACACACTGCGTGAGGGTTAGATCGGATATGGTGTTGAGTAGAGCCACATCAAATCTATTTCCAGGATGTGATTATTGTACCCAGTTAACAGTGGGCGCGTTGAAATCATGTACAATCAAAAGATGATATCTTGGTCTGGCAGCTGCACGCAAGGCCTGAAAAAGTTTCTCATATTTTTGGTGTTGCGTGCTTGAGCTACAATAGATCACGACAGCCTTGACTAGAGAATTTGCGTGAAGTATGCTGACTACTGATTGGATGTTTGTTGAGATAGCCATGAAGTGCATCACTGACTGACGTAGGATCTGCCGCAATAGTAGCATGCAACCTACACCAAGTGAGGTAATACGGTCAGAGCGACTCGGTCAACTACAGGTTCCTCCTGAACAAACTGGAAGCCCTGCGGGTAGACCAGCAGTTATTGTGGTGGATAGAATAGTACCTACAAGAGAGGACGTTCCGCGTAAGGGTGGAACAGGAAACCTATGGTGAGGTACGTCGAGGCTCAGTCCTTGGTCTCATAATATTTGTGTTGTATGTTAATGACGTCACCGAGGTCTTCCGGAGCCCCGGGTTCCTATTCGCGAATGACCTCAAAGTAGTGGGGAATCCATCATTGGAGGATTAACAGGATCCACTAAACGCAATTCATGGCTAGGCGGACACATGGGAGCTACCACTCAACGTCAGCAAATGCCCGCACCCGCTGCAGAACAGAGGGGTAGAGGAGGTGATTCGACTATGCACTGGGTCGATGACGCCATGGAATCTACCGATGTGGTCAAGGATCAAGGGATGCAGATAAACTCATCCTTTAAACCGTCAATGCAATTCGCGGCAACCGCAGGCCAATAGAGTCTTATTCTTACTCTGTCGAACGGTATCATTGAAGTATGCTTGCCACTGTATAAGGCTTTTGTGCGACCACATCTGGATTACTGTGTCCAGGCGTGGGCTTTTCCCCTAGTATGGGATAAACAACTGCTTGGGGCGGTGCAAAGAAGGTTCACTCGGATAATCAGTGGACAGCAGGGTAAGTCATACAAAGATAGGATGGCGGCCCTTGACTTGTTCTCATTGCCCAGCCGTCGCCTGAGGGGTGACTTGATAGGCTGTCAATAGCAGATAGGTCCTTGCTGACGCTAAATCTCAATCCTACCCTCGGGGGGCGTGTCCTGATGCTATTGAAACCGCGGGCCAACGGGGGTCCCAGGGCACAATTATTTTACCGCCGTGTGATCAAAGCATGGAACAAGCTTCCATCTACAGTAGTAGCAGCAACTAGTGTTCTGCAATTCAAACGGAGACTAGACAACTACTGGGACCAGGTGTTTCCAGAGTATGACTAGCACAAGTCTCAGTCACTACCCACATCCCATTTTGTAGCCGTTGTCTATTTCACCATCATCCTTTTACATGACACACCTCACGCACAATTACTACAACATCATTTTTCATCAATCCCCAGGAAGCTCTCATGGCAGGAGTAGCAGTCCGCTGAGGTGTGGCGCCTGTCAAATGATTGAGACTGCTGATACCCCAAGGGCAATCCTGCTCTTCAGCTCTTTCTTATAGTTACAACATCCAACACACACATGTGGAACTACCTGGCAGTCGTGGCACAGTGGGAACCACCAGCTCACAAGTGAAAGAACCTGAACGTCCACTAGTCGAAAGCTAAAGTATTGTGACCTGACCTGACCTGACCTGTTTCGCCTGGGGACTAGCGATGCTAATTATTCTGGTAACATTATTAATAAAGGTAACAATTTGCTATAGCAAATGGAAAAATGCATGAATACATAAAAGGGCTATAGTATTATTTTGGTTTTGTATTTTTTTGGAGAAGGGCTTAAAAGTAGGCAGTTAGACCTAGGTACTTATCAAGTCGAGACTTTAAAGACTCTTTGCTTGTTGAAGAGGCTATCTCTTCTGGCAATGCGTTCCAGTGTAAATCACCCTGAAAGTGAGGAAAGATATGTGAAGGGTGGTGCGGGGTCGAGTTTTGTATAGCTTTTTGCTATTACCCTGTGTTCCTTCCGTCGGGGCTAGAGTGTAGAACTTATCTACTAGGTCCGAGGAGAACAGGTGGTGTAGGAGAATAGTGTCACCCCTAGTTCGCTTGACTTGCAGAGGATACAGATCAAACTTCACTAGACGTTCAGGATAGGGAAGATGTTGCAATCCAACCACCGCTTTTGTTGTCGCTTTTTCAACTCGTTCAAGAGCATCACGTTCACGGATCGGGCCGGAATGAACAACTTGACTACCATATTCTAGAAGGGGACGGAAATAGGTGCCATAAATAAGTGGGAAGTCTTTCTTGGTGATTTACGAGAAAGACTTTTGAAAAAGGTGATGAACACTTAAGGCAAATTGGCTGGTTAACTGGTTATGGTGTGAAAAACAGAGGTTACTATTTAACCAGAAGCCTAGGACCTTGTGCAAGTTTGTATGCTGAAGAGGTAGCGTACCACTTATATGAAATGAGACGGGAGGGGAGTTCTCAAAAGTCATGCGTACACACTTGTCATCATTGATGGGCAGATTTCATTCAACGGACCAGTGTTTTACAGCATCAATGGATGCCTGTAGCGTGCAGGTATCTGTGGCCCAGATAGTGACATCATCTGCATACATAGCTACGTTTACAGGTAATGCACTAGGTAGATCGTTAATATAAATAAGGAAGATAAGAGTACCGAGAGCAGATCCCCAAGGGACACCGGTTGTAATAGGGCTAAATTCGGATTGTGTACCTGTATCGACTTGATTGGAAAATTATTCACGCCACAGGTTTGGCTCCGGTTTGGCTCGATTAAGCTGTGCAAACATGTGACCCATTGCACAGAGGACCTTCGAATGTACTTTGCCCATCATCATGCCCCGATTTGGTCCGACGACATACTTTGTACTTTGTTGCTATTGTTCACATACCGTCTTTAAGTGTTTCTCGTCCCACTCATTTGTGAGTCATCTACCCTTATAGTCCTTGAACTCTTGCTGTTCGACGCTTGCCATTCTTGTGCGTCCTCACACATAAACTACCCTGGATCCGTTCCCCTATCCACGTTTGGTTCTAGTGCATTGTCATCCCGTCCTCTTTATGTTGACCTTCATATTTGATCATTAACTTCATTTGCTTAGCGGACTGCTTTGTTTCATAGGATCCCGTGAACCGTTTGTATGCTTTGTATTGACCAATGACTGCACTTCATTATCAAGCACTTGCGATTGGTGTTTCTGTCACTTAAATTGTCCCTTTTCTAAGACTAGTTTGCATTCTTTTTGGCGACCGCTGCTCAGTTGCTTTGTTCTCGCCTTGACCCGTTTTGCATCTTTTTCTTGTAAAGTGGAGATCGGATTGGCCCACAATTTGAGGTATGGTGCTTGGTTATTTTACATATTTGTCTGCTTATAGTACACGTAGATTACCGACTTCTCGTTATCTGAAATCGGACTTGGGGTTCGTATCTACGAGTCACTCAACCACTTGACGGCAGTCAGTTACATACGCACTGCTGGCGAGTTCCAAACATACCTGTGAGTGTGTATGTATTGATGACTAAAAGTGAACGGTGTTAATTTCAAAACTTATCTCTCATTGTAAATGTTCTGTTCTCTCGTAGCACTGTTTGAATGTGCGTGACCTTAAGTGTCGCGATAAAATTTGTAGTAGTGTAGCGAGAAGGCGAGTCGGCTGTCAAAGCATTTATTGATTCAATTCAAAAACAACTGGTGCATGAGTACATACAATTAGCTCTTAACCGCGTGACAGGATGATTCATGCCTCATTTTGTTGGTCAATCCCATTTGGTTTTGGTCCACACTTGGCACGTACATTTCCTCTTCTCCCTCGTGCCGTTCTGACTGGTTCGAGTTACGTTGATCGACAGCTCCGACTTTGTGGTACTTGGTTGATATATTTCTGGCTAGCTGCGGATTGTCCTTCGGGCTGTAATCGTCGATTCGTTCGTTTTGGGTGGTAGTCGACATTGTCTGGTGAAGTACTTCCAGCTGCTACGT